CATTTAATAGACGAATATGTTTCTGCCTCTTAAACCAGGCTTAAAGCACTGTACCAGTGCTGAGTGAGCACTAATAGCAACATATGCTTCCATGGTGACCATCTCCCAGCTCACCACACGCTAGAGACTCTATGGAGAAGCTCTACATAGTCAATATCTGATCTCACTAGCCATACAATAATTTCTCCTCTTTATGTTGCAGAGGCAAGAATTCTAAGGGTCTCTAGATAATTTCTGTAAGAATCTGAAGTATTCCAATACTAGAGAAAGAAATCAACCACATTTAATAGATCATAATAAATTTTATCAGTAGAAAGAGGTCAAGTTTATTAGGACACACATTTTTGCCAAGACGTTTAAAATTATATAGCGTATTTTGAAAGATGTTACTACTTTAAACACTCACAAGTTAAAAAAACCATTTTATTTTAGGACTAACAATTTAGTAAGACCATCAATTAAAACAACCACTGAAGTGACTTTTTTAAACATACAATAGGAAAAAAAAAATCTTACTCTTCTTTAAGTGCTCCCTTTTTACTAGGTTCCTCCACAAAAGCTTCTGTTTCTTGTTCTTCTGACATTCCATGCAGGTATGGATTTAATGGCGGTGGCCTCCAAAAAGATCCATTTTTGAACATACGAAAATCTTCTGTCCGCCACTTAGTTGGAGAATCTCCCTAATAAATATCCAGAAAATTATTAGAAAGGTCTAATAACTCAGAATCAAAATTAACAACATAATTAATTCTACTTGCCTGCAGAATAGAATAAAGCTTCCACCTATAGTAAACATGAGCTGGTGTCTGGTTTTCAAATAAGAATCTAAACAAAACAAACAAAAATTAAACATCACGAAGAGCTATCTTCAATTAAACATAACAAATGAGAAACAGTATTAACCTACTGAGTTCTAAATAAAACTGAAAGTAAAGATCCCTGAAGAGAAGTCCTCATCTACTGCCATCCACTATCTATCCCCCCACTTCCCTGCCCTGCCCAGACTGCCTTAGTGACTGACATTAATACTCAGAAGGCATGCATCTTGCTGAGTCTTAAACGATTTTTATTGAACACTTATATATGTCAGATACTGTGTCTGTCAATGGAGAAATTTTCCCAACTTATAATTTCAAAAGCAGTGATTTTACGCTATTTAATAATAGTGCTAAGATATCACAGTGTCTTAGATATCACAGCAATTCAGAAGATACACAATTTCATTTATTCAACTCTATCTCACTTATGAAAGACTTCCATTGAAAAGCACAAGAAAAGTATTTTCCTAGTAGAGAACGCTTAAAACAATGCTATTTAATTAGCTAAATCAAAATCTTATGGAAAACTGACCTAAGCACATCCTAATCTAATCACTAAAACTGGCTACTCATCCCACCGCAAAACTTCCACTCTTGGAAATACTTTTAATTCCAAGAAACAAGTAAAAAGTAGTTTTAAAACGCACACCTGAAGATAAACAATATGGTAAATACATACAATGGAATATTTTTCAGCCTTAAAAAGAAAGGAAATTGTGGGCCGGCCCGGTGGCGCACTGGATAGTGCGCCACTTGGGAAGCACGGCGGCGCTCC